CTATCCTCCCACCCCCTAAACACCTTCTCACTGCTACATGCCAACTCACCCTCAACCCCCAATACTCTACCTGGACCTTAATCGATCAAAATCTCTCTGTTTCTCTTTTCTACACAATATCCCCACCTATTCTTCCTTACATTCTTACATTAGAGACCTCTGCCTCTATTTGGAAAACGTTAGAGAAATGTTTCTTCTCGACAAATCGCTCTAGAGTTATACAACTCAAGAATGAGCTGCAGTCTCTCTCTATGCAAGGCAAGACAATGATGGACTATCTAGCATCCATCAAAAGCATAGTTGATAACATCAGAGCTGCTGGCGGAACTATAGATAATGAAGACATTCTTCATCATATCCTCAATGGCCTACCGCCTTCCTATCAGTCTTTCAAAACTACCATTCGGAGCTCCTTGTACCCCATCTCATTGGACGATTTGTATTCTCTTCTCCGCAGTGAAGAAGTTCACCAGACTACGGATGCACTTCGTGAACTTTCATTTTCCAATACATCCCAAACAGAGGATCAAATTGCTCTGTTATCTAACCACGGGAGATCGCGTGGACGCTCCTCCTCCAATCGTGGTAGGGGTTGCTTTCCTTCTAACAATATTCCCAGAGCTTCATCCCGTCCTCCCCGCTTTGATGGTGATTGCCAAATCTGTAGCAAGCGTGGACACTCAGCTACCAACTGTTGGCATCATGGCAACTTCAGCTACACTCTCACCACCAATTCAAATGTTGCCCTGGTCGCCGAATCTGACTCCTCTCCATGGTACCTAGACAGCGGAGCATCTTCTCATCTAACTCTGGATCCTCTTCCCATTCAGTAGCCAACTCCTTACAATGGCCGAGATCAAATCTTTGTTGGCAATGGTAACCCACTTCCTATACAGCATGTAGGCAATGGTCTCCTTCCTACGCCCACTCGTAAGCTTACTCTTAATACTCTCTTCCATGTTCCACGTTTAACTCATCGCTTAATTCCCATTTCCAAACTCACTACTGACAACAATTGCTCCATCACTTTTGATAAATCTGGTTTTCATGTCAAGGATTCAACGACCAATCAACCTCTACTCCACGGACGATGCCATAATGGTCTGTATCCTGTCACATACCAACCATCTATTGTTGCTGCATCCACGACCGTTGCTCCGTCACGCTCCGCTCTCTCATGGCATCGCCGGCTGGGACATCCAAATGCAAAAACTATGGCTGCTCTCTCTAAAGCCTTTCTGTCGCTTTACATTAGTTCCTTACGTTCTATATGTAATTCTTGTGCACTCGCAAAGAGTCACATGCTCCCTTTCTCTCCCTCTCACCATGTATCTCGTTCTCCCTTAGAATTAATACATATGGATGTTTGGGGTCCCTCCCCTGTCTTTTCTCACAATGGCTTTCGATATTTTATGCTCATGATCGACGATCATACCAAATATACATGGCTCTTTTTACTATAAAAAAAAATCAGAAGTTGCTCTCTGTCTAATACATTTTATACAAGTCGTTAAAAAAAATTTAAATTCATCTGTTCGCACACTGCGTAGCGATGGCGGCGGCAAATTACAAACCAAAAACTTAAAAGACTTTACAGCCATACGTGGTATAACTCATCAAATAACTTGTCCATATACCCCACAACAAAATGGCGTCTCTGAGCGTAAGAATCGTCACTTACTGGAGACCGCTCGTGCTCTCCTCTTGGATGCTCACTTACCCGCAAACTGCTGGTCCGACGCTCTTTTAACCGCTACCTTTCTGATTAACATACTACCCTTGTCAAACACATACTCAAAATCCCCATTTCACCTTTTTTATCAAACTCCACCTGATTACTCCATCCTTCGTCCCTTTGGCTGCAAGTGTTTTCCATGGACAAAACCGCTCTCACCTCACAAACTAGCCCCCCGCTCTATTCCTTGTATTTTCCTCGGTTATACTATAAATCAAAAGGATTTAAGTGCTACGATCCTGCCACTCAAAAAATAATCTCTTCCCTCCATGTGAACTTCGACGAATCTATTTTTCCCTTTCTCAATCCTCTCACTACACCTCAGCCACCTACCACTCATGCTCCCCCCTTTTTCCCTCCAATTCAATATTCAAATATTTCACCACCAAGTCCAATTAGCAACTCACCAACATCCCCGGCTCCCAATTCCTCCATACCTCAATCCACTACCTCAACTCCATCAACAACATCCTCAACTTCATCTTCCATTCCCGTCATTCCACCAATCCCCCATCGCATGCTTACCCGTGCTCAAATAGGACATCTTAAACCACGAATTCTCCTCGACTCTCTCATTTTATACAATCAACCCCAACCTGCTTTACCATTACTGACAAAAATCCAAATTGGTGCAACGCAATGTCTACCGAATTTCATGCTCTTCAGACTCAGGGCACTTGGTCACTCGTTCCTCCTCCAACCGATCATCAAGTTATAGGCCTTAAATAAATCTATAAGCTTAAATTTTTAGCAGATGGTACTGTTGCTCGTTATAAGGCGCGCTTGGTTGCACAAGGCTTCAAACAGCAATATGGCATAGACTACCTTGAGACTTTTAGCCCGGTTATGAAATTTACCACAATCTGTTTGTTTCTCATTATCGCTCTACATCACGACTGGGTCGTTCATCAGCTGGATGTGATGAATGCGTTTCTTCATGGAAAACTCGATCAACCCGTCTACATGTCCCAGCCCCAAGGTTTCGAGGATCGAACCTTTCCAAATTATGTTTGCTTGCTTCATAAAGCCATTTATGGCCTGAAACAAGCTCCTCGACTCTGGTTCGCCACATTGACTACATATCTTAAAATTCAGCATTTATCCCCAGCTCAGCAGATCCGTCTTTCTTCCATTATCATAAGGATCATATTCACATATACATTTTAGTGTATGTTGATGATATCCTCATTACAGGCAGCGATCTGGCCTCCGTTGCCACTCTAATCTCAAACCTCAAGAAAATTTTTCAAACTAGAAATCTTGGTCATCTTTCCAAGTTTCTCGGTACTGAATTTCATCGCACTACTACTGGTTATCATCTACATCAACAATCCTACATTCAGGATCTCTTGCATACGGCCTCAATGTCTAATTGCAAATCGCTGCTTACGCCACTCCCAGCTAAGTATCCCGTTGATCCCAACCTTCAGCTCCCTTTTGCTCAACCGGAGCTATTTTGTAAGCTAGCAGGTTCTTTGCAATACCTCACCTCGACCCGGCCTAACATTGATTTTGCTGTAAACAAATTGTGCCAACATATGCACAACTCTCTCTTGCTTCACTACTAGCTTCTCAAACGCATTCTACACTATTTAAAAGGTACCTTACACCATGGCCTCTTTCTTCCAAAAACTGACCTACATCTCTCTGCCTATTTCGACTCTGACTGGGCCGGTGATCAACTGGAGGGGGAGGGACCTAGTAAGCCTAGCCTTCCTAGTCAGCCCAGTTCCAATCATCCCAGGACCCGTTCTCATAGGTCATTGTGAGATCAAGTGGTTGATCTAAGGGATCAAATGGCTATAATTCACAATTATATGGATGAAATTTGATAGTGGCAATGGGGAATGGCACAAAGAATGGATTATTTGTTGGATATGTAGCATCATTAGTGCACCTATGCTTCTCAATTTATTGTAGCATTAGTTGGGAAGCTTAGGAATAACCCTCTATTCAAGAACCTTCATCAGCACTTCTTTGTAGCATCACCCACATTTGATCCTTTTACTTGGAAAGAGCCCCCATACTCGTACCCACCACCAACAAGAGATAATGATGAGGAAGATGAGAAGGATGATGAGTGATATTATTTATTATTCTTATTTTTATTTTATTTCTCTTAGATATTGTTGAGTTTAATTTGTTGATGTATTGTAATGATAGAGATATTATAAACAATGAGCTTGGCTCATTCTTGGTTTGGTTGTATTGTGATCAGTTGAACTTTTTATGTGTGAGAGCTTAAATGCAATGAGCATAGCTATTGCATTATTGATGTTAGTTTCCTTGGTTATGCCCATTACACTTTGGACACTATTGTGCTTATATAGTTTACACCTTATGTTATTGTTCTATTTCCAATTTCCTACATGCTTCAGAATTTATTGCTCCTTACTAATTCAACAATTGCACTATTTGATTCATCTAACTAGTATAAAATTTATAAATTAGTTTAATTTAATATAAGGAAAATATAACACTACATGTGCTTAAATGACTTAGTAAAGTAAAATTATTACAATTTAGAACAATATTAATAACAACTAATCAAATCATTTAAGTTAATACTTCATATTGAATTTAACTACTATATGTGCTTATTAAGGTACTTCGAGAAGGAATAACAAAATGAGAAAAAGAAGAAAAGAAGAAGAAACAAAAATCTTTAGAAATTTCATTGGTAATTTCTAACGAAATATTTATGCCAGAAAATCCATTAGTAATTTCCGGCAAAATTATGCCGCTAGAATTTCCATCAGTGATTTCCTAACGATTTTTTGACGGAAATGTTAATTTTTTACAGAAAAATCTTTCAAAATTTTGTTATAAAAGGCCTTATGTTATCCCGAGCTCCACTTCATCTCTCATTTCACATTTTTTTTCTCCTTTAATCGAAGCTCTCAACCTCTCATTTTATGTTTCTAATGGATCATACGATTTTACAATATTCGAAGAACAACAATATTAAAAGATTTTACTTCAAAAATACTATCGAGAGTAAGATAATTTCATCGTTTTTTTTTTTAAATTATATTCTCTTTAGGAACTTGTGAAATTAATTTATGAACAAGCACCTATACGGCTCGATTTATTTGCGCCATAGATGCACCGCATCGACGGGCCTTACCCAAGCTTTAATTAGTTTTAGCTTGATTGATCTTCTTAATGTCATAACCTTGATTCATAGATGCCTCCATAGAACCTTATCATCAAGCTTTTTTTTATGTAAAGAAGGTGTCAACCATACAAATAGAAAACAAAAACAAAAAAAAAATCATTATACAAAGTTAAGTATAAAAATTCATGCATAAAAATTTCTTCTTTTTAACTCAAATGAAAGCACTCAACAAACAACCATTTTTCTTCATGTACATTGAGCCAAAAAAAATGTATGGTAAACAAGTTAAGAACATCTACTGAAGTGTTCTTCCTCACACCAATTCTAATCCGAAAAAGAAAGTGAAAAATCTTCAATCTTTACTTCCTTGTCTTCCTGAAGACTAAGATTCGAACCAGCTTGAATTTCCTTGAACATGGCCATCACATTCAACATCGTCGGCCGCCTAAGCGGCCGATCATCAAGACAAGAGCAGGCGATCTTCAAATGCTCAAGCAGCTCGAACTCCAAAGTCGAATCTTCATCAAGCAAATGCTTATCAAAAACGTCCCTGATTCTAATCTTCGAATGTTGCTTAACCCATCCAACCAAGTTATTTTCCCCGAAATCAGAAGAATCGGTAGGCTGACGACCCGTTAGAAGCTCGAGCAAGACGACCCCAAAGCTGTAAACGTCGCCCTTCGTCGTGCAGCGGAAGCTCTGGTAATACTCCGGCGGGACGTACCCAGGTGTTCCGGCGAGGGTCGATACGCTGAGATGGGTGTCCATGGCGCTCATAAACCTCGCCATGCCGAAATCGGAGACTCTGGCTTCCAGATTATCGTCCAACAACACATTGCTGGACTTCATGTCTCTGTGGATTATATGTGGAATGCAGCTGTGGTGGAGAAAAGCCAGTCCGCGAGCTGCGCTGACGGCGATTTTTCGCCGCGTCGGCCAGTTCAATCTTATTCCTGTCTTGTTCTTGTTGTGGAGAACGTCTTCAAGGCTTCCATATTTCATATATTCGTATACCAGAAGCCTTTCTTCTCCAACTTTGCAGTAGCCTAAAAGCGGGACTAGATTTCGGTGCTTTATTTTTCCGATGGTTTCCATTTCGGCGGTGAATTCCCGTTCTCCTTGCCCGGTGACTTGTATGAGTTTCTTGATGGCGACAAAGGTGCCGTCTTTGAGCTGGGCGCGGTAGACGTCGCCGAAGCCCCCGGAGCCGATTAGGAAATCCTGGTGGAAGCCATTGGTGGCGTTGAGGAGGTCATGAAAGGTAAGATTTTGCAGAGGTTTGTCGAATGTAGCGAGGCTGATAGTTAAAGCGATATCTTTAATCCCCGTTTCACCGCTGATATGATCTTCTTCCTTCTTCTGCTTCTGCCTCTGTCTCTTCCTGTTCTCTACTAGTATAACAGAGACGCTGAAGATGCAGAAGAGGGAAAATAGAAGCCCTATTGTAATACTCCCTGCAATAGAAGCTCGCCGATGGGGAGATTTTGGGTTTTTGTTGCCGGAATCTGTGCTGGGGTTTCCACCGCAAGCTACCAGTGGGAAACCGCAGAGACCGGAATTGTTCTCGTATCGAAAACGTGGGAAAGTAGCGAGCTGCCCGAGTACAGGGATAGTGCCATTGAGCTTATTATTGGACAGATCGATGTCGGAAAGCATGGATAAGCCGGAGAACGAGGATGGAATAGGGCCTTCCAATGCGTTGTGGGAGAGATCAAGAACTCCAAGACTATGCAGGTTTCCTAATTCTGGAGGAATGACGGTGGAAAGATGGTTGTGGCCGAGATTCAGGACGCTAAGATAGTACAATTTGCCGATTTCTTTTGGAATAGGGCCCTCTAATTCGTTGTAAGAAAGATCGAGGAAAATCATGGAGCCGTTGTTGTTGAATGTGTATTGCGTGCTTCCCATGTAGACTCTGGTGAAGTTGCAGATTCGAAAACTGGGAAGACGGTGGAGCTCCTCCCGGCGGATTCCAGCGAATTCTAGGAGATTTCCTGAACCCCTGCAATGGCTACTCCCGTCGTTTTTCAGATAGACGAACCTTTTTCCGGTGACAAGGCCAACCGCGATTTTTCCGGACTGGTTGGAGATGGTTGGAGGGATGGTGCCGTTGAGCTGATTGCTGTTAAGATCAAGCCATATCAGGCTCCGGCAATCGCCGAGCTCAGGCGGTATAGGGCCCGACAAAGAGTTGTTGCCGAGTTTCAGAATGGCGAGATTGCTTAGGTTTCCAATCCATGGAGGTATTGGACCAGTGAGATGATTGCTGGCGATAGAAATCCAGTTCAGATTAGTACAGTTGCGGAGGCCGTTAGGAATTAAACCAGAGAGGCCATTGTTGTCGAGGATGAGATTTTCCAGACAACGGGCGCTGATAAGCTCTGCCGGAATATCTCCTTCAAGGAGGTTCTGCCACATTATCAGGTCTCGGAGCTGTGAGAGAGATCCCAGAGAGGAAGGGATTCTTCCTGTGAGATAGTTAAAGCTCAGATCAAGAGAAACGAGTTTGGAGCAGTTTGATAGGGTCGCCGCAATGACGCCGGAGAAGAGATTGTTCTGTAAATAGAGTTCCTTCAAACCAAAATCTCGATTTTGGCAGAGGTCCATTGGTATCGATTTAGACAAGCTGTTTGAACTGAGATCCAGCAGTTCAAGCGCCGCGAACTTTGAGAGCCCGACAGGAAGAACTCCGGTTAGATTATTAAATGAAAAATCTAGGATTTTCAGGTTGTTCATTGAAGATAGAATATCAATCGGGAAATCTCCTGAGAAATTGTTGCTTGATAAAATGAGTGTAGTTAAAGATGAGAATGTGGAGAACTCGCCCGGGAGAACGCCGGAGAAGTTGTTGTTGGAGAGATTCAGGAAGCTGAGGCTCCGGCAATCACTGAAGGTTCCATCATGGATGCTTCCCGAGAAATCGTTTGCTGAAAGGTCGAGATGCTGTAGGGTCGAACAATTGCCGATCGCTGGAATTCCACCGGCGAAGTGATTGCCGGAGAGATCAAGAAACTGGAGAAGACCCAAGTCGGAGAGGAACCAGGGGAGATTTTCAATGTCGCTGATACGATTAAAGGACAGATCCATTGACTGTAGCCGGAATCCGAGACTGGTGCGGGAAGTGTTACCGCCGTCGGCCAGACGGATGTGGTTGCCGGAGAGGTTGAGGGACTTTAGTGATGAACAGGAGGAAGAAAGAGCATATACATCGGAGACGGTGCCGGCCAGCCCGTTGCCGGAGAGGTCGAGCTCGGAGAGATGCGCGCCGCAGTTGACTCCCGCGGCAAGGCTGCCATTGATTTCCGAGCGGCGAAGGAAGAGGCGTTCGAGGCTTCTGAGCTGAAGAAGGTAGGAGGTTACAACGCGGAAATGGACGCCCAAGGCGACGTTTTGAAGGTTGACGGCGACGACGGTCGAACTCCGGCACGTAACGCCGGCGAAGGAGCACGGATTCGCGCTAGCTCTCCAGCTCGCGAGCACCTGTGGATTGGGTAGGGAAGACTTGAAGGAGATCAGGAGCTCTGCGTCTCCAGCGGGCGGACCGTGGCCCGGCTGGGCCGATTCAAGATGGAGGAGGAGGAAGAAGGCAGCTATCCGGAGGAGGAGGAGCTCCATTAGCTGCGAGCCTGCGACTGCACACTCTCTCTCATCGCCTAGTAAGGTATCCGGTTCTTCGTCTCCGCCATTACAAGAGTGAAGGAGATAGAAAATAGAGTGCCTCAAAAAGAGTGCTAGCGAGGACGGGATCGTTATGGAAAACAATTCTGTAATTTTGTCATATTTCATTATATATATCATATAATACCTTTTAATATAATTATGGGTTTTTTACATACATAACACTTAAAATTTACCTATTTATTTATATAACACCTAAACTTTGGTATTTACTGTTTAGCCACCCAAAAAATTATTAGTTAATCGAAATTACCCCTCTCTTACGTCTTTCTCCCGACACTGTCTTTTGCGCGGGAATCATTCCAATCGAGCGCCAGCCACTCCGATCACCCCTCTCCACGCCGCAGCTCGACTTCTCCACGTCGCATTCCATCAGAACTATTTTGCGAACTGAAGCTGCGCATAACCATCATCATCTCCACAATGTACTCTCTCGAGCGGCGGGAAACTGAAGCTGCGCACAACAATCGTCTTCTCCACAACGTACTCTCTCAAGCGGCTCTTTCCTGCACTTCTCCAGTTGTTGACAAGTTGTTGTTGTATTGGCTTCAGGTAATAGATATTGTGTAGAATAGAATCGCATTCACTCATTTAAATTTGTCTTGAAATTAATGGAAACAGAGCAAACAGAACAAGATAGAGTGAGAGAAGGAGAAAGACAGAGAAGAGAATATTTTTAATCTTGCTGTAATAGTTAATTTGCTTGCTTGCTGTAATAGTTTACGGTTTCTTAATGAAACACATTATATATTAAATGGTTTTATTTGTTTGCTGTAATAGTTTAGGCTTTCTTAATGAAACACATTATATATTAAATGGTTTTATTTGTTTGCTGTAATAGTTTAGGCTTCTAATTAGTGTTTTAGCAGATATGGAATGTAATGATTTGTGCTCTATTGTCTTCAAATATGGAGGATATTGGACTGCGGTGAAGGGACAAAGCAGGAAAAAATATGTTGGTGGAAGTCAGAAAACTTTGAAGGTTGAGAGAGGGGACATTAATTTATTTTTGTTGAAAGAACGTACTGAAGTACTTTGCACATGGATTAGGGGTCATATCTACGACCTACATTATCATATTACTGGAACATCACCTAAAATTTACATGCCGATTTTAAGTGATACAGATGTTATGGACATGCTTATAAGTTCATCTGATAGCAACAGTGTTGAGGTCATGGTTGCAGTTAAAGATCATGAAGAAGATATTGGTTTTATAGATGAAACTCAATGTAGTGATATGCATAACTCTAGTGTGAATATAAGACCAAACAATGAAATAATAGTTGATGGTTTGTGTAGCAAGCTAGTACAAGCTGGATTGCTCAAGAAATCAAGGACATTGTGAAAAGAAACCCTGAGATTACACCAAAAGATATTGCTAATAACCTGGAGACAAGTTTTGGTTTATGTTTACCATACATGAAAATATGGCGTTCGAGGGAATTAGCAAGAGACCAAATGTTTGGTTTAGTAGATGATAACTACAAGTGGGTGCCAGCACTAAAGTCAGAATTAATCAATAGAAATCCCGGCTCACATATAACATACCAATGTGACAACAAAAATAATTCATTTAAGAGGTTCTTTATTAGTTTTAAGGTCTGTATCGATGGATTCCTTGCTGGATGTAGATATTTAATTGGCCTTGATGCTTGTCATTTGAAATCAAAATATTTGGGTGTCCTGCTTTCTGCAAATTGTTTGGATGGAAATAATGGTCTCTTCACTATTGCATTTGCTGTTGCTGAGTCTGAATCAAAGAAAAGTTGGGAGTGGTTTATGATTAATTTGGCCACTTCTTTTAATTTGGATATAGAACATATAGCGTTCATATCAGATATGGAGAAAGGGCTTGGTGAAGCTATTAAGGTTGTATTTCCTAACGCTGAGCACAGAGTATGTATGAGGCATCTTTGGAAAAATATTAAAAAGCTTTTTCGTTGTGACGATGGTCATATTTTGCAGAAGTTGGTTTGGTCTGCTGCAAATTGCTGCAACATGCATGTTTATAATTCAAAGTTAGAACAAATATTTCTCATCAGCCCTCAAGTTCATTCTTACCTAACATCTTTAACATGCAAGTGGTCTAAAGCAACATTTTCATGGGTAATTAAAAACCACTACAACACAAATAACATGTCAGAATCCTTCAATTCATGGATTGAGGAAGCAAGGAATAAGCCCGTGGTTGATTTGATCGACATGATTAGAGGTATGTTGATGGAACAACGTTCTCAACGGAAGTTAAATTCTCATTCTTGGAAGAGCCCACTTGTACCATGTGTGGAGGACTACATTAGAGATGTCACAACTAGAAAAGAGCATTTTATCATACGTCGGTCGACTTCAACAAAAGCTGAAGTTGAAGGAATAAATGAACGTCATGAGGTAGACATAGAGCATCATATGTGTACTTGTGGATTTTGGCAGTTATCTGGACTTCCTTGTGTACATGTTGCAGCATTTGTTGGAACGAATCATCAGAATTTGTGGCATACATATGTAGACGAACACTATTACAGTTTTAGGTATGTTCTCTAATTGAATATAACTGCTCTACTGCTTAATTGTATATGTTAGTTAAATCATAAACACTAATAATTTTTTGTAGGTACAGAATGGCTTATGAAGGACCTATTTCAACACTTCCAGGGAAGGAAAAGTGGTCCAAACCTACTGATTCTATATTCGTTTCTCCACCAGTATCAATTAGGCCTCGGGGCAAACAAAAGAAAAGAAGAATTAAAAACTTCTTAGAAGGAGCAAAGAAGGCAAAAACTAACCATAGATGTGGTCGATGCAATTCATGGGGCCACCATAGAAGTACTTGCAAAGAACCTTTAAGTTTGGATGACGAGAATGTTCAGCCTGTTTTATTTGGAAAAATACCAATTCGGCGTGCAAATAGTCAAACAGATGCCACTTAATTGGGACAACTGAGTTCACCCGGGTTGCTATTTTGTTTGCAACCAATTCATTTTTGCTACTGTTTTTGCTGGTTGCTACCAATTCGGAGTGTAAATGGTGTTTAATGTTCAGCCTGCTTAATCCAAGTTTTTATTAAAACCTTTGTTGTTTTATGTGTTCATGTTATTTTTTGGTGAAACTTGATTCGAGTTTTTATTAAAACTTTAGTTTTTTTAATGAAACAATTCCCTGGCGACTGTTCAGCTGTTCAGCCTGCTTGATCCGAGTTTTTATTAAAACTTGTTCAGCTGTTTTATGTGTTAATGTTCAGCCTGCGGATCCAGGAAACACTAACCTGGCGGGTTAATTTGGCCAAACCAGCAAACAATAACCTGTAGAAGTTTGCTGTGATTCAATAGTTTAATACAAATACAGTATTTAAGAAAAGTTTTTAACGATTTATTGCATGTTAAGTGATGTTTTTAACGTATGAATTGACTCCAAAATTTGGATACATGATATTGCCATAGAATCATAAGAAACTGGTAACATTCCTCAACAAAAAACATTTAGAAATACAAGATTATAGTTACAAAAACTGGTAACATTCATTTAAATTAACAGAACTTCAAAGAAACTAATAACATTCATTTACACTGACAACTCCTCTAAAGAGAATTGACGGCGACGGCAACAGCAAAAAGCAAAATCAATATAATCAACAACATTTTTATTTGAAGTAACTCAGATATAACTGCGACGAGATGATTTGAATGATTTTCTGGTGCTTTTGCACTCTTTGCCACATTAAAATCTTCTTGCTCATCATTTTGTTCGTCAATCCACTTAAAAAATCTACAATCGTCTTCCGATCTGTTTTGGGGGCATCGATATAACTTTCTTCCTTGATTTTTAGCTTTGTAGCATGTAAAGATTTGACATAGCATATTGCAACGACAATATATTGGATTATCCGCACTTCTCGATGTTGGCGTGGAGCGGCTCAAACTCATGTCTCAAGTCCACAAAATTTCTACAATTACATAAATCTCAATTTGTAAAAATTGACTTGAAAAAATAACTTGCAGTTTCAAATGGGGTTAAAAAAAAGGAGAATATGGAGAATATGAAATCAACTTGTTGGTTCTCCTAGATGCAGAACATGGAGAATATGAACAGCGGTTTAGGAACTAAATGGGGTTAAAACAAAAGGTGAATATGAACAACAGATCCATGCCTAAATGGGGTTAACTAATCAGATGGAAGAAGAACAACAGATTCGACCTAAATGGAAGAAGAACAATAAACTGGGGATAACGAATAAAATAGAAGAAGAACAGTAAACCTAGATGCAAAACATGGCGACAAAAAAAAATAAAAATAAAAACATACCATGGAGAAGAACATCGCCTAGGTTGGGAAGGGAAGAAAATCCGACAATGAAAAAATATACCTGCACGATCAAATCAATGCACGAAGATGAACCTCGCTCGAAGAAAGAGGCGACAAGCCAAGAGCGAAGCAGGCATCTCGCGAAATCGAGGGTTTGGTTTTGACGGAGGCAACAGAGTGCTATATTTGATGTAAGCAAGACTTTTTGGGTGCCTAAACAGTAAATACCAAAGTTTAGGTATTAGATAAGTAAATAGGTAAATTTTAAGTGTTACGTATGTAAAAACCCCTAATATTTTATGTATATTACTCATAAAATATATATAGATACAAATAATAAAATATTAACATTTATAAGGTGGTATGAATGAAATAAAGGAATGACATATTTAATATTAAGATTTTGTTTAGGACAGTTTTCTTACAAGTGCTTAAATAATTTTTTCGTATAAAAAATTTAATTTTGTACTAAAAAATTGTTTTAAGTAGCAGTAAGAAGGTCATATCAAAGGAAATATAAAGTTGTCTATGGATAATAGGTATAAATTATTAAATTTTTTGGGATTAGATATATAAATAATATAATATAAAGCTATATGTAGGTAAGGTTTAGTACGGGGCAACTTTTCTTAAAATAATTTTTTAATGTAAAATTTAAATTTTGCAGCAAAAACTACTTTAAGCAACAGTAAAAAAAGGCATATCAAACGAAACCTAAATACCCCTTATCAAATGTAGCTACAAACTAGCTTATTAGATATTTAAAAAAATATTTATATGATATAAAAATAATGAGAATAATATGTGGAAAAAAGAATAATCTTAACCAATTTTTTTGTACTAAAATATTTTGTGTAAATTAAATTTTTGCATTAAAAAATTATTTTAAGAAGCAGTAAGAAAGTTATCTCAAACGAAATCATAATTTTTATACTAAAAAATTGTTTTAATAAGCAATAAAAAAGTCATCCCAAATAAGATTTCGTTTGAGATAGCTTTCTTACTGCTTCTTAAAGTAACTTTTTAGTAAAAAATTTAATAATTTATACTAAAAAAACTATTTTAAAAAGCATTAAGAAAGCCATCCCAAACAAAGCCTAAGTCTATTTTTTTGTACTAAAAAATTAATTTAAGAATTAATAAAAAAATCATCCCAAATGAAGTCTTTAATTTTTTAAAAAAAATTGATTTAACGATAATATAATTCAGTAAAATAATTTTCATAATTAAAAAAAAAAGAAAATAGAAACTCCATTCGGGTAATAAATCAACGGCTGTGATTGTTGGAATCGACGATCTGCAATCTAAGTGCATTCTATCGAAGCGAGCTCACGTGCTGGAGACCATTTTTTCTTGTTTTATTCTACATGACTGAAATACCCTTTAGGCAATTAAATAAGCAAAATTACTTTAATGCTCGTAGGGTTCGATTCTTCGAGCTTAGTTTATTACCGAATGGTTATTTTAAAGGGCAGAGCCGACCAACTTTGTATTATTATATTATTCTCTTATCTTCTCGAACTCTCACCCAATTTTATATTAAACAAAAAAAATGGTTACTTATTATAATTTTTTATAATATGCAAATGTCTATGCACTTAAATCTCATAAATTTGAGAATTTTGATGAATAAAATTTGCTCATGCTACAAATATTTATATTAGAAATTTTCAAAATTAAAATTAAGATTTAAACTTTAAATATAACATGATTATAGTCAAATCGAGCGGCTCGACGAGATGAATCCAACGAGCCTAAGGTCACGTTAGCTTTGTAATGCTATGCTCTAATTAAATAAAATGGTTTGTGTTAGGCTTGTTTTTTTCCTCCTGTAGCTGTTTGATGTTGGTTGGTATCAGTGACAGTTGAAATATATATATATATATATATATATATATATATATATATATATATAGACATTTTATTTCTAAAATCACCATAGAATAAATCAAATATTTGTTATCGAATAATGACATCTTCAATTGTGAGTTATAGAGGATTCAATTGAGTCAAACCCATGGTTTTTTTACCTTTCGGGTTTTTCACGTTAAATTTTTTGTTCTACTACTTTTATATCCGTGTGCTAAATTTTTGTATAATATTGAGACGTAAAATACAAACTCTATTTGCTCAATTTTTCTAACACATAACAAGTCTAAAAGAGAAATAAATGACTTGGAGAGTGAGAAGATCTAGATATATTTTTAGATTTTTATTAAGGGTATAAGATTAAATTACGTAAATCAATTAGAATATATCAAAAAGCATTTTGCTTCTCTTTGGGTTAGCTCAAGTGACTTAAAAAATTCAAATCAGTTTCAGATCAACTAAAAAAAATAATAATTGAATTATATAATTTTTTTATTTCAAATTATATAAAATTACGATTTTTATTTATTTTTTAAAATTGAGTTGTTTCCTAATCGAATAATTATCGCCATTTTGAATGAAATAGACACCTACTTATCATGATTTAAATATTTTGTGTCGTGTCATGTCGTGTTAATCTTAGATTGAATCAAAATCTCACACGTGATGCAAAATTGGCATCTCGAAGTCAGGCTTCATTTGGGACATCTGTATTGTCTTTTCATTTAGTGAAGTATTGTCTTCTCTTACTACAACCGCAGCTATCACCACCACCACAACCACCATTATCAACTACTGATCAGCACCATTTTTAAATTTTATATTATATTTATTTTACTTCAAATAAAAAAATAAATCACCTATATTTATTTTAAACTCATCCAAACAACTCTAAAATATTCCAGATGCAACATGTCCTTTTTAGACTACATTCCTTTCCCGATCAACCAAACATCATAATCAAAATTTAATCAATAAAAATTTAATTTAAACTAAATACAATATAACATAATCAATCAATTTATATATCACATTCATCTCAAAATCAACACAATTTTAAAACACAATATTAATCAAATACATTCACACCATTTTTTTTCAAAACTTTACGGAAAAAAATATTTAAAAAAAAAACTAAATTGTTTTACGCATAATATCAAAGTAATTAATCATATATTAGATTCGTCTCATAAAAGGATTATTACATGCGGAGTCTGAATATAAAGAACCGATCGATTTCGTAACTGTGAAAAGTAAAAGCACGGCATAAAACTAAACGGCTTTGTGTCCAGACTCCTCACATAATAATCTCTCCATCCCATAACACAATGAAAATATTTAAAATTTATCCTAATTAAAATTTGATAAAAAAAACCTCATAAAACTTATTATTGATTGTTAATATGTGAACTGTTCCTGAACTACAATTGATCAGATAAATGCCCCTAAATCCCCTGATTCAAAACACTAATTTTCCAACCAAAATGCAATTAAATTACAATGTCAGTTAAACTTTCATTGCAAAATGTGATCAGCCCAGCCTATATTACCTGGCACATAGGCATATATGCATGCATATGATACAATCAATCCTATAGCGAGCTTTCCTTCCAAGACAATATTCATCTACTACGTTTGATCCTTGAAAAATGGATGGTCCAGGGCTTCCCGAGCAGTAAGCCGCTCTGTTGGCTCAAACCTCAGCAGCCCATACAATAGATCCGTTAATGAAGATCTGGAGTATTCCAAATACCGAGAAACTAAATCCTGCAAAAAAAAAAATCTTTTTATGTTTAGCTCTATAATATATCGAGCCCAAAACAAGTTGTTAATGAACATAAAATATATTTTAAAGACCAAATTAAAAAATAAAATATTCAAAATAATCCTCCTGGCAGGGCCGGGGATTTAAACAGGTCAACCCGAACCCGACCTATTTTCAACCCAAACCCGACCTATGCGAGTTAACAGATTGACACAACCCGACCCAGATTCAGGAAATTTGGCTAAAGAAGCGCGAGCTGAGCTCCCGTCGCTACTTCCCGTTCCTATTCAAAGCCGGCGACGAAGCAGCGGCAACGACAACGACAGCGGTAGCGGCGGAGTCCGCGAGTGCGAGTGGAATCCGCAACCGCGAGTGCGAGCAACGAGAGGAGTCCGCAAGTGCAAGCAGCAGCAACAACGATAGAAGGCGGTCGGCGAGTCGAGAGTGCGGGCAGCAGGCGGAGTCCGCGAGTGCGGGCTGAAATCCGAAATGGACTCCGACTTTCATGTCATTGTCGGGTTGATTTCGGGTTTCCGGGTCAACCCGAACAATTTTTTGAAACGGGTCAAAAATTTGAACTCGAACCAGACATGTTTGCTAACAGGGTCAACCCTAACTCTGATTTTTTCAAGTCGGGTCCGGATCAGGTTTCGGGTCATGTCAAAAATTAACACCACTACCTCCTTGCTATTCGTATGTGGCCAATGTGGTCATAGAGTATCAGATTTTTCAATTATGTATATTCGATGGATTAAATTGGGATCACTTTTGTATTTCAATTTCTATCGATTACCTGAGGGATCACTTTATTGAGCTGAACACAATCGAAAAAATTTTGCTTCTGCTTGGCTAATTAAATATAAAGGATTACATAAATTAATTAAATTCCAGATAATTATTATGCTGAATACAAACAATAAGGTTTTTTGACAGCCCCAAGTTAGGGTCCAAGAAATCAAACCTTGAGTCTGTCCAGTTTTCTAACAGCCCTGATACTCTCCCTCGACAGAGCGCCTTCCGGCCAGTTTAAATGAGCCCCGCGTTTGAAATACTTTGAAGCTGAACTACTGTATTTGACAGAAAGGAAGACTGGTCTGGGCATAATTGTTCTAAAAATAAATCATAAGGACAAATGAACATGAAAGCAATAAAAATAAAAAGGGCACAATACTCATATCTTAGAGCAAGTTCTGTATTGTGCCCCATATCACCAAAAGGAATATCTAACAAACGATATATAATGGCATCAATTATACTTTTAAATACAAAAAATTAATATAACACAGGTTCTGAATTAGTTGTTGTCACTATGAAGAAAATGTGCCAGAAGAAATCAACAAAAAGGTTAATGCACGATGATGAATTTGATTGATGGTTTTGTTTCAATCTTTTTGTAAGAAAATCCATTAAAAAACAACATGAAATCCTAAGTATTAACAACCTAACCTGATATGAGAGTAAATGATCATCAGTGGCATCTAGTCCATAAGAGATCTGAGTAAAAGTTTATTTAATTTTATTATTTGGAAGTTTATTATTATTTTTTTTTAAGAAATTGTGTTAATGCTAGGGCATCCCCTGAAAGCGACGCGCTGTATGGCCTGAATACAGTGACAAGTGTGCAAGGGTCGCTGCACCGACGCCCAGGTGTAGTGTTAAATAGGCAAGGGTTCCCACATCAAGGACGGATGTGGGCAAAGAAGCTAGTCCATGAAACTAGAATTAGGATAAGAATATTGGTTCCCTTACAGGAAAATTAATGGAATTAATAGATATTATAATTCATAGGAAGTTAAATATTTTGTGCATTCAGGAAACTAAATGGCTTGGAGAGAAGGCTAAGGAAATTGATAGTTTAGGATTTAAACTTTGGTATTCAGGTAGGAGTTGTACTAGAAATGGTGTAGGTATTATTATAGATAAGAGTTTAAAGGATAATATTATAAAAATTAATAGGATTGGAGTAGAATTATAGCTTTAAATATTGTTGTTGATGATAACATTATTAATATTATAAATGCTTATGCTCCTCAAGTAGGTTTGGATATGAGTTCTAAATTAAATTTTTAGAATGACTTAGAAGAATTAATACAAAAGATACCTCTTGAAGAAAGAGTTTTTATTGGAGGTAATTTAAATGGACATGTTGGTAGAGAAGTAGATGATTTTAAAAGCATTCATGGTGGCCATGGATTTGGAACGACGAATGAATGTTGCAAGACTATATTGGATTTTTGTTTAGCTTATGATTTTTCAATTGCTAATACTTTATTTAAGAAAAGGAATGAGCATCTCATCACTTATAAAAATGGATATAGTACAACCTAAATTGACTATTTTCTTATTAGAAAATTAAATCGTTTAGATTACAAAGATTGTAAAGTTATTCCGAGTGAAAATTTATGTACCAAACATCGATTATTAGTTTTGGATTTTAAGATAAAGGGGCATAAAATAAAAAATAAAGTAAAATGATTTTGTAGGATTAGATGGGGGCATTTAAAGAATATTAACAAAAATATGGGGCATTTAAAGAATATTAACAAAAATATGGGGCATTTAAAGAATATTAACAAAAATATGGGGCATTTAAAGAATATTAACAAAAATATGGGGCATTTAAAGAATATTAACAAAAATATGGGGCATTTAAAGAATATTAACAAAAATATGGGGCATTTAAAGAATATTAACAAAAATATGGGGCATTTAAAGAATATTAACAAAAATATGGGGCATTTAAAGAATATTAACAAAAATATTTTTGGAGATAAGATTTTAGATC